CCCCCCCAATCCCCAAAGCCTCCTTCTGGTGCCAGGTGAGTGACAGCCCCTCCCCTGCCCACCTTGGCAGTCCCAGTGCCCACAGCCCTCAACTACTGCATAGCTTTGGCTTCACATTGAATTATTTCTGGTTCCTGCTCATATCTCATGTTTTCAATGAGATTGAAGCCACTTGGCACAAGAGTTGCATCCTCTGTTGTGGGGTGGCCCCACCACTCCCTCCATGGTGTCCTGTACACAGACCCCAACTTACTTACTGCACTAAAATACTAGTTTAGTACATAAAAATCAATAAAATCCCATTGAGAATGGTGGAATAGCAACAGTGATAGGGAGCAGAAGCTGAAGAGGACAGTTTAATTTTAAACAATCATATGAAGGGAGCAAGTTTTGTAAAACACTTTTGTTGGTCTTCATATTCTCCATGGGCCAGGTTTTCTTTTTGTATGGAAATGTATATGCCATATCTCTTATCCAAACATTTGCTTAGTGAAGTAAATATTGTTCCGTAAGGTAGTTTAGAAAGAGCAATAGATTTCATGAAGGCTAGCAGTAGGATAAGCCCCCCTTTTCCTACTCCATTGTTGTAAATGAAGTCTGACAGCAAGAAGTGAGTGTTTGTGCCTGAGAATCAGTTTATTCCCAGCACTACATACATTTAAAAAGGAGAGAGGTATAGTCAGCAGTCACCTGTTCTGTTTGAAGTCTGGGAGTCTTGCCTGGCCGGTGTGGCTCAGTGGTTGAGCATCAACCTGTGATCCAGGAGATCTCGGTTCAGTTCCTGGTCAGGGCACATGCCCTTGTTGCGGGCTCCATCCCCAGGAGGGGGTGTGCAGGAGGCAGCCAATCAGTGATTCTCTCTCATCATTGATGTTTCTATCTCTCCCTTCCTCTTTCTGAAATCAATAAAAAATATATTTTAAAAAAATAAAGTCTAGGAGTCTAGACTCAGACAGTGATGTCCCATTGTCAGAAACTGGGCTCTTATTGTGTCGTACAAAATACGCAGAAATTCAAGGCCATCCTACTTTCACTGTGTACAGTATAAGTTTGAGTTGTTTTAAATAAAGTTATCTCAGAAATAATGATCAGAAATAAAGACATTTTAAAGGCATATGTAAACAGCAGTCACCTACGCATCTAGTAGAAGCAGAATGGCTGAAGTGGTCGAGAAGTCCAAGAATGAAAGAAGAAAGGCAACCAAGACAGTTGTTCCTCAGGAGAAAGTTTGTGAGAAGAATTCTGTTCTGCATATTGATTTGGACGGAAAAGTGGGGAAAATAGTGCATAAGTAATATGAATGGAGGAATCAACAGTTCTGTTTTAAGGCGCACAGGAAGAATTGAGAGTAAAACTAATGTAACATGTCAAGCAGTGTTTGTGGTTGGATAAGTGTTATAGGTTAAGGCCCTTTCATGTCAGATCGACTGCTGTTCTATGACAGATTAAATAAAAAAACTGCCTTCACTTCACCCTTGTTAATTACCTGTACATTTCCTAGAACTGATTGTGCTTTTTTACTTATATGTCCTGGTGTTGCTTTAATTACAAAGGGAAAGTTTTCTTTTTCTCTTGATACACCTCAGTAAATTTGAATGTCTATTCTGATAGTCTCAGCTAATACAATTGTTTAGACGAACTGTTAGTTTAACCCCCCCAAAGTTAATTGATACAAGCATTACTCTTAAAAGACCCATATTCTGTTTTATTATTGCTTGAACACTGCAATCTGCTCTTGTGTTTCTGATATTCTGGGTATTTGTGACTGTTTTCTTGGTTTTTCATTTTCTGGTTGGTGTAACGATTAATCTTTCAAGTGTTTGTATTATAGGGTGGATGTGTCGACTCAACCAACCAAAGCCTGGCTCTATTGTTCATGACCCTTGGACAACAGGACGTTTCCAAAGTCCTTCTAGGACCGCTCTCTCCCTACACGTGAGTTGTGTTCTTTTAGCCTCACTGTGCTGTCCAGTCTGTGCTGTGTGTTGCCTGTCACTGTGAACACCTGCTTGTACTGACCCTGGAATGAGCTGGAAGTTGTCACTCTTAACCTGGTGTTTAACAAGGATCTTGCCTTTCTTTCTCTCCTATAGTTTCATCATTCTCATCTATCATTTCCATGGCATTAAAGTCGTGTGGTATATTCTTTGGTCTATGCTTTAGATTTTTCTCATTTTGGAGGTAAACTCCTGGTTCCATTATAGCTTAGATTTTGTTAGTTTTTTTAATCCCTCTCTTTCCTAGCTCTGGAAATAGAGCTGTCTTTTTGTCTAAGATGATAGGATATGAATAGCTGGAAGGATGAAGAAAGAGGCAAAGTCTATAGTGTTGCCACTGGACTAGTATGGAAATTGTGAAGGTGAGTTTCAGGCCATTGGGTGTTATCAGAAGTCAACTGCTGAGGCATTAAAGCCAGCATGCTACAAAAAGAGCCACTGATGAGAAGACTTGAATTGTTAACAGCAGAGTGAAAGCAGCGCTTCCCATAGGTAGCAGATGAGTTTTCTGTAAGCATCCTGCGTGAGCCCTGACATCTGGGTGTGTATACATGTGCTTGAGATCATTATTACATGGCCATCTGCGGATGGGGAGTGGGCCTTGTGTGGGAGGAGATACTCAGGTAGATATGAGATTGAACTGCCCTTTTTCGGTTATCATGGTACCGATGCTGTATATCTGAAAGGTACAGTACTGTGATAACTGAAGAATGGTGGTGCCATCACATTGAGTAAGGGGCCAGCACTGCTGGGGGCCATTGGACCATTGGACCGTCGCTTGGGGTGCATGGAGAACAGGAGCTTGAAAGAGATTCTTTTGGAGCTTTTTTAAAAAATTTTGAGTTGGTGGTGGGAAGTTCTTTGGGGAAGTGGAAATAAGAGAATACACTGTGCTAGCAGTGGGGGAAGATTGATAAGCAGGAAATTGGTGAGGACTACATTATTTGCTGATACCTTTTTTAAAGTGTTTCATGGACAGGAAACCTGAAATTGAGTAATCCTCAGTGGAACACTAACACCAGGAATCAACATTGCTGAAACAGACTGTAGTTCAGGCATTTGGAGAGGAGGCAAGGGCTGGGAGTACAGCGCCCTGAGTGCAGAGATTTGCTTCCTGTGGAGAGTCTGCTGGAAGTGCTGACAGGTGTGTGTGTGTGTGTGTGTGTGTGAGAGAGAGAGAGAGAGAGAGAGAGGGAGAGAGAGAATGTGTGTGTATGTGGTCATGGGGCATGGGGTTTGGCAGAACATTATGTGCAAAATGGAATCTGTATTTTTAGTTTTCCTTGACACTTTCTCTTTTTTTGCTCTTTGAGATTTTTTTTCAGTTTGGCTACAGAGCCTTTATAATTCTTTCAAGTCAGCAGCCCCTGTGGAGATGGTCAAGATGTGGCTGGATATTTTTTTCAAGTTCCTGAGCCCTCCTCAACACACCCACTCACCAGACATTAATTGCAGTCTTGTCTTCCAGAAACCTCATCTAAAATTACTACATCTCCCAGGAAAACAGACTGGTCTGCTCTGAATGGAGCTTCACAGGACTGGGACAAGTTACAGAACTATGTTTGAGACTTGGGGCTTTCTTTCTCTGGGTTTCCTGCTTCCCAGTGTTTCATACAAGAAGGGGCAGCTGTGGGTGGGAGAGCATAGCCTACTTTCTTTTTGGTGAGCTGGCACAAGGTGCGGATGTGGGGGTTGTAAGGAATTTATTTTTGAAAGCCGTATCTGTTTGGGACTCTTGTTGCCCTTTATCATTGTGGAAGGCTCCAGTGGTCCAGAGTGGTGAAGGGCAAAGGTGGGAAGAAATATACATCCTTCAGGGACCCAACAGACGAAGTTAACATTATATTGGTGGGCACAGCCTAGGGTAAAAAAGGCACAGAATCTATAGTCAGTGTAATCATGGTGGGGTGTTCAGGTTGTTTTAATTGGATTCAAGAGTTTTGGAGACCAAACTGTCACATTTTTATGTACAGTTAGACTCATAAAAATCTATTTTTTGAAATCTCAAATTTCTCAGGAAAACTAGAAGCAAGACCCTCCTTGGTTTAAAGAAATATATTTTTTGTAGCATTTTTCAGGTTCTGATTTGTATAAATAGCTTTCTTAATTTTTTTTTACAGAGCACTGGGATTAGGTGGATGTTTTTCTTGCAGTATTGCTTTCAAACTCTTTCTGGAAAATAAGGTCTCTGTTCTTCCTTTTGTTCTCCCCTCTGTCATCTTCTGCTGGTGGTTTTCTGTGTTACCTGAGAAAGCAAGTCTATATGTGTGAAATTCTTCAGGAAGGCCAGAGAGATGTTTTTCAGTAGAATAAAATAGTATTGGATAACATGCTGGTATGTGGAAAATCTATTTCTGTTCATTTTGTTGAGTTTTAGGTGATTTATAATTGATGTCAGTGGGTCTACCTTCCCCTGAAAAAGCTTAATATTATAGTTTAGGGAGGATTTATACTTTATTTAAAAGTAGGATTAACAGCAAGAAATAGCGCTTTCACAAATTATCAGTGATTGGAGGCTGCGGTCACCAGAGATTTCTACATTTTGTTGGTCATGGGCATTGAAATGCAGCCTTCAACACCCATGACTTCAGTTTTGGCTCCAACTTCAGTTCTGGCTCTATCCTGGAGCACCAGGAGACCATGGAGAGGCATTTAGCATCTCTGAGCCTCGATCTCATCTGTGGAGAAGGTGAATGGTCATGAAGTCATGGGCTTGTGGAAATGGAGTGAGGCTTAAATAAGGTCAGGTACGTAGTGCTCCCAGCAATGCAGTGCTCCTGGCAGAGCCCAGTCAGTGCTGGCACTGCGGTCTCCTCCCAGACACCCCCTTGCCCTGCCCCAGTCTGGGAAATCCAGTCTCCTGTTAAGGTAACTTTGAAAACTAGGAGGCCCAGTAAACTTGCTTTAGGTAATCTCAGGCCTAAAGTCAGCTGTAAATTGTTTGCTCAGATATCTATAAATCTGTATCCAGTAATTTTTAAATTTATGACTAACTCCTGTAGTCAGATTGCTAAACAAACTATACACATCTTATTTACTGTTTCCAAGAATTCTGTAAGGTAGGTGTTTATTTAACAAACACATACAGTATTTACTGTTAGCTGATGTTGTTTTAGGTGCTTTACAAATATGAACTCATTTATTTTTCATTATAACCCTAGGAGGGTGACAAAAGCAGGCACTGTTGCACGCTTCATTTTGCAGGTGAGGGGATTGAGGCACAGAGAGGTAGAGTCATGTGCCCAGGGTCACATAGTCAGCAGGTGGAGTTCAGATCCAGACAGTCTCGTCCAGAGTCCATGCTTCCCTGACCCATTGCTCTTATGTAAGTGCTGGGATCTCATCCCTGTTGTTAGACTCCAGACACCTCCCTGCCCGAGACAGGGTGCCATGCCAATCTTTTCAGAGTCCTCATTGCAAATTCTGCTGTGAAATGCTCTTCCATCTTTACTTGGAGTCTAAAATGAACTATGCCACTTTGTTTTTTCCTAAGTTTAACTAATGACCTCTCTGCTACTTGTGAAGTGCTAGGGAGTGAGAGCCCAGTGTCCTTGTTAAACACTGTCCTACTGGAGATTCTTGGCTCACCCCACCGAAGCACAGGAGTGTGAAGATCAAACGAGATAATGCAGGGGAAACTGGACGTGCTGGCCAAGCCTGCAGCTATTTGGGTTCAGTTGTTTAACTGCTCTCCTGAGAGGGCAGAATACCACTCCACCTTATATTTGTGATTTAATTATGTTTAAATGCAGCAAAGCCCTGTCATCTTTATTAAGCTGTTTGAACTCCAAACCATATTTGGCATTTGGTAAGAGCAAGTGATATCTTTTACTTTTCGGATGAGAGAGGCCAGTGACCTGCTCATAGTGAATTTTTAGCCAAACTTTTCCTGGGACCCACATCTCCCAACCATGCAACCAGCCTGTCTCTGTCTTCTGCCTTTATAGCTGAGTTTAATAACTTTGTTCTTAGAGCGGAGGCCAGCTGGGCTTTGGGAAAGCCACTGTCTGGCAGAACAAGCACCACCAATATGTTTAAAAGCTGTCGTATAATGACTACAGGGGGCCCCATTCAGCCATTTCTCTTCTCACACCCAGATGTCCCACCCCCTCCTTATACCTGAGAAGCAGGTAACCTCAATACCCAAGTGGCTTGATGGAGCAGGAATCAGGACCCTCCGTTGTGGTTTGTGTTTGTGGAGCTTCCAGAAAGAGGGAGGGGGCCTTCCCATAATTGCTTTCACCCCTACTCTCTAGCAGGCATCAGAAGAGTGACCTGGTGAGAGGGGCTGGATTTTAAGGGGCAGGGCCTGGCACCTGGTCAGTCCTGGGCAGTTGGGATTCAACAGAGAGATGACTTTGAGGCCAGTGGCTGTCACCCATTGACCAACAGTGCTGGTGGGAACAGCCTACTCTTGGGAGATACATAAGAAAAATTATCTCTGTGTTCTAGGATCCTTGAAACCTGCTGTCAGATGGCCTGGAGGCTTTCATGCTTTAAGTCACTTTGTATTAGAAAAAAAGAGTTTACTACAGATTTAGTTTAAGTCCTTCACATGGGAGTCGCACAGTCCCACCTGCCTAATGTGGTTAGTCTGAAAAGCTGCCAGTTGCACCGCGCAGGTGGTCGGTCCTCTGACAAGGAGCAGAGCTGCTCTCAGCATGTGCGGCGCGCTCTGCCTGGCTGTGCAGCCATGTGGGGAGTCTAGGATGTGGAGAACAGCGCGGTGTTTGGAAGAGAAGGAAAGGGAAGCGGCGGGGCCTGTGCGTGGCTGCAGCCATGCAGAGCCGTGCGCCTGTGAAGGATGTGGATCAGCACCGGACGTGACTTTGTTCAACTGCATGTAGATACAGGGCAAGTTTATGCTCTGTTTGTTTTTCATTTTCTTAAAGAGACTGTTAGGATTTAATATTGTTTATGGTTATTTCTCAGCTTCTG